CGGCGCCCGTGCGCTGCCGCACTCCCCGCGTCGCCGGGGCTCGGGGACCACCCGCTGTCCCCTGCTCCTGCCAGCCGGGCCCTGCGAGGGCTTAATTGACCCTGCCGCTAATTGGGGCTGATTGCATCCAACCCCTTGTTCCTCTTCTCCTAACCCCCCCCTTTCCACCGCTGGCAAATTATTCAGCAGAAACTCCGCAGCCCTGGGGTCCGCCGGGGTCGAGGAGATGCCGGGCGGGGGGCGGCACGCGGGAAAAGCGCTCGGGGCTGGGGGTGCCCATGGAAAGGCTTTACCTCTCCCTCGGGAATTCCGGCCCTCTCGTTCCTCCTTGAAGGCAGCTTCAAAAGACCCGCGCCGGTTCGCGCTCCCTGTTAGCGATAAAAGCGGCTCGCTGCAGTCGCTCGGCCCCGCGGCCGGAATTTCTTCCTCCGTTCGGAGGGCAGGGGGGAAAATCGGAGGTCGCCTGACCTTCAGGTCATCTCCGCGGGGGATTAATTTCTCCCACAGCATCTCCAAAAAGTCTGAGCCGGGGTGCGACGGGGGATGGGGGGTCCTGAAGGAGGAGCAATGCTTCAGATTAAAGGATTTGCCAACCTCTAATGAAACAAGAGCCTCCAGGCTTCCATTAATTAACAAATGAGCTCATCAAGAGCCTCCCTAATTTGTCGAATATAAAGCTGCCCTATTAATTAAGCAAGAGGACAGATTTTAATTTGCCTGGCAAAATCGCACATTTCCTTGATAAATGGCTCATTTAAACGGTTCCTTGGTGAAAGTTTCCAGAAGAAGGAATGGGGGACGAGTGAGGTGGTGGCGGCGGCGGCGCCCGTGCGCTGCCAAAAAAAACGGCGCCCGTGCGCTGCCGCACTCCCCGCGTCGCCGGGGCTCGGGGACCACCCGCTGTCCCCTGCTCCTGCCAGCCGGGCCCTGCGAGGGCTTAATTGACCCAGCCGCTAATTGGGGCTGATTGCATCCAACCCCTTGTTCCTCTTCTCCTAACCCCCCCCTTTCCACCGCTGGCAAATTATTCAGCAGAAACTCCGCAGCCCTGGGGTCCGCCGGGGTCGAGGAGATGCCGGGCGGGGGGCGGCACGCGGGAAAAGCGCTCGGGGCTGGGGGTGCCCATGGAAAGGCTTTACCTCTCCCTCGGGAATTCCGGCCCTCTCGTTCCTCCTTGAAGGCAGCTTCAAAAGACCCGCGCCGGTTCGCGCTCCCTGTTAGCGATAAAAGCGGCTCGCTGCAGTCGCTCGGCCCCGCGGCCGGAATTTCTTCCTCCGTTCGGAGGGCAGGGGGGAAAATCGGAGGTCGCCTGACCTTCAGGTCATCTCCGCGGGGGATTAATTGCTCACACAGCATCTCCTCGGCCAGGCGTGCCGGGCAAGCCTCATCGAGCTGGGGTACCCCGTGTTCCCTTTCGCCAACCTTCCCCCCACACCAAAAAAAAAAGTAAAGAGAAGTCTTAACAGGAGAGCGAGTGAATTACGTGGAGTCCTGCCCGAGTTTTCAGTGCAGCTCCTCTGATTTATAAGGTCTTTTCAATTACTGAATCCTCTCGGCAGCCGCGTGCGGAGCAGCCCTACGTGAGCTCCATGCTCCATCGGGCCGGCTGCGGTGGCGGGGAACTTCAGCGTCTGCCGCGGGCTGGCCGAGGCACAAATAACAAGGATTTCTGCAACATTTAGTAAATAAAAATCAGGAATTCATTAGCGCAAGAGGTCATCTAATCTGAAGAAGAGACTGGAGGGAAATGAGAAGTGCGGGAGTTACTGTGAATATAACATATGAAGCAATTGGAATTTGGGAGAAGGCAATTTGAAATCTTACTACATTTTTTTTTTATTATTGCGTGGGCATGGGTGGGCGATTTCGGAGGGAGCTGGAGATCAAAAAACTGCGTGAACAAGAAGAAGTGACCTTCCTTCGCTGCTGGGCTCGGGCTGTCCCCGCCGCCTCGTGATGCTCGGACGGGAGCTGCCGGAGACACGAGGGCTCAGGAGCCCTAAAAGCTCTGAAATCCACCCAAACCCAGAGCAGCCAGGGCTGATGGTTTCCCTTTCTCTTCCTCATGAGTGCTGGAGTATTAATAACCTTTTGGTGTAAAATGACCACATTTTTAAAATTTCATTATGTCTCTATGTCACAGGACATAAAGCAGAGGCAAACCTAATTCAATTACAGAGAATTAAATTGCCGGCCCCGCCAGCAAAGCCGGGGGGGAGGCGGTTGACCCTTCCAGTGTTGCCAGGGATCCGAATTACCCAGCTCAGCACATCCCCCACCAAAGCCGGAGCCGTGGGGCGGGAGCCCGGCTCAGCCCCTGCGCCAGACGTGGGGAAGCTGGGGCAGGAGGGAAGGATGCTCGTGGCGGGGTCATTCGTTAAGCCCCATCATTAACGGTGAAGGCATCACGGGAGAGGGAAACCGTTGCCTCCAGCAGCACAGGGGGAGGGCGGGATGGTTTTGGTGCTGTTTAAAGGGAAATCTAAAAAGGCTGCGAATGCTGAGGTTCCTGCAGGCTCAGCAGAGGTGGTTTCCTCCGTCAGCGCGGATGCGGCCGAGGCGGGGGCTCGTGCGGGGGGGGGCAGCCCCCAGTCCCCCTCCCACTGCTGCTGACTCCGCTTCCCCCATCCCGGGGCTGGTTATTTCAAAATACCTTTGCGGCCCCTTGATGTGGCCAATTTCTAAAACCCCAGCTGAGGATTTCCTTCCGTCTGGGGAGAGGCCAGGACCGGGGGGTGCTGAGCACGGCCACGCTGCC